GGAAAGACACCAAAGAAAGTAAAATAATGGCTTGAAAAGCTGCATATAATAAATATTTTAGGAGCTAGAGAGATCTTTGAGAACTGATATAAGCTTTTGACTGATTGTATTCTTGCCTTTAATAACATCTTTAATTAACAATATCTTTAACATGTTGATCTAATAGCAAAGTAAATGGAAAATAAGGTAAACTTATTATTGTGCAGACTGATTCATATTTAGTAATGATTTTAGTAGGACAAAAATAATACATTAATAAACAGTAACATAATTGAAGTGGAGTTGGCAAAACATCAGACCTGGCTGCATTGCACTGTAGAACTCAGAAGAGTTTAGGTCTGTGTGAAAACAGTGATGGTGCTGGGAGGAACAGCTCGTGGTGCAAGGGTGGATGCAGCCGGCACTCACATCGCACAACCCTGCCAGCCTTTGCTGCATCGAGTAGTTGTAAAGGGTTAAGGAGACCATGTTCCTGGTGCACTGTGTAACTTTGGACCAGTACTACAGTTTTTTGGAATGAAGACCATGCTGGGAGATTTGTCAGCAGGTAGTTTAGTTCTGACTGACCAGAGAAGAATCTCTGAACAGTAAAACCTAAGAGATGGAAAAGATGAAGGAAGTTGTTCCCTCCTAGTGTTAAATCATTCCTTTCAACACAGTTCCCAGAATTTTATACAATGTCAATTATAGGACTAGGCTTCATTTCTTAAGGAACCACACTACGGTGTGACAGATGTCTCCATATGAAAGTAAATCCTGAGAATTGGCCCAGAGTCTTTTTTATTTGATAACATCTGCCTGAATATTTGTGGAAGACCTTTTAGGCGTGTTTTGTACCTTGTAAATATGGATTTAAGAACACTCTGGAAAACAAAAGCAAAACAGATTGCAGGCTCTCAGGCTTGACCGGAGCAGTATTTTACAGAAGAGAAGACTGGAGTCCAGCGCTGACGCATTGTTTCTTGGCTGATGTGTCAGTGAGAATAATGCAGCTCTCGGACTCTCTCCAGGGGAATGTTCAGCCACTATCATTCAATAGCAACTTTGTTTACCAGTAGAGAGAAATCATTGGCAGGAGTCTAAATAAAAGCATTAATTTTCTTTTTCATCTTCAGCTGCCTGCTAATGACCAGGATATTAGACTTTTTCATAATCTGCAAAATGGAATATACCTCTTTGTACCTCTCATTTGTGATGAATTGATGAGCAATAGATAATGGCTGCTGGATGTTGAACTCTGAGCACGGTGTTTGGGAGCATTTGAGCATTTGTGTTTCTGTAATTCACTTTTCTTTTGTGTTCAAAAAAATGTTCAGGGTTCTAAGAAAAAAAAAGTCTATTTATTTTCCAGTGAGTTTTAAGAATATTTTCTTATGCTGTATTCCTTACCCATCCTTGTACACAGGCTTGGCTCCACAGGTCTATGGAATATGGGAATCAGTAGTGCAAACTGATGTTTCTGGAACACATTTAAATGGCATTATGCTAGCTCTTTTTGTCTGGATGGAGACTAGTCTTGCTTAGCAGTTAACCATTACCATTTTGAATTATGTTGGTTCTTATTTGTTCACTGACATCAGGACCATCATGAATTTTTGCCTCTCTTCTCATATTCCAGCTTCTCTAGCTGAAGGTGATATTCCCTTCCCACTTCTCTCTTATTTCCCTCTCTTCCAGTTTAACCAAAGCAGGGCATATTTTTTGTTGGTTTAACCTTCCAGTAGCCTTACTTCATCCACAGAAAATGTTAACCTTTTACTCCAAAAGATGCCTTCATTCTCCTCTATCCCATCGACACAGAGCCCCACAATGACCCTATTGACTTCTGAATTCCCCATTACTTTCCTCAAGTTTCTCACGCTTCCAGTTTTACTGTGGCCTTTCTCTCTCTGAATCACTTTGTATTGTGCACTTTCTTCTGTGCTTTTCCTTACCAAAGGAATTGCCTTGTCTTACAAGGCAGGGATCCTACATTTCCTTACATTTTCTCATCTTGTATTTGCACATGCCCCTTAGATTGTGAACTGTGTCGAGCTCCATTTCCGTTCTTTGCTTAGTACAATTCATCTCTTATAAAGTTCTGGATATACCTAGGGTGCTATTTAAAAATCAAATAATAAATTTGCTTTTTTTTAAAAGGTACAACTTTCTCATTCCAGCTAAGATGCATTTTGTGGCCACATAAATACTGATTCTAAATTTTAACCATCCAACTGAGTGCCTAAGGAACATCTAAAAGAGTGAATCATGGTTTAAAATATGAACTAAGATGTCCTTTATTCTGAAGTAATGTATAATTCTTTTTAAATTGTAAATGTTTTATATTTCTGCCCTGTATAGCTACTCTGCCCTAAATATTTTTTTAGCTTTGTCGTGTTATGCAAGGAAACTCCATTTGACTTTAGCCACAGTGTATGGCCTACTGCACAATCCATATTGGTTTAAAATTAGTAGTTCTATAAATTCCTGCACCTGGGTCGGGGCAACCGCCGGTATCAACAGAGGCTGGGGGCCCCCCGCCGGTATCAACAGAGGCTGGGAGATAAAGAGATTGAGAGCAGCCCCGTGGAGGGGCTGTACCTTTAGGGGTACTGATGTATGAAAAGCTGGACATGGGCTGAGAAAGCAAACCACAGTCTTTTCTTGTGTCATACCCACCAGTGCAGACCAGTGTCCTGCAGGCAGTGCCAAGTGCTTAATGTGCAATCAGAGCTGTGTTACTACAAGTTTTGTATTGTCATGATGAGAGGTCTTGGCCATTGCTTGAGTCCTTATGAGCATTTCTGCTGGGGAAGACAAGGTGGCATGGATAAGTTTCTTGTATAAAAATGCAGCATGTTAACTACATAAAGAAAAAATATATTTCATATTTCTGCATGTCTGTAATTTCTGTTTAGTCTCAAACTCTCAAGAATGCTTTGCTCTTCACTGCAGTAAGGCTTTCAGTGGTTTTGTGGTTGTTTTCAGTGTTGCCTATATATATATATATATATAAGGTTACTAGATGGAGTAAAAGCTGTCAGTCTCCTAAATTGTAAGTCATTTAAATTAAAGGTTTTTGTCTAAGCTAAATCCAGACTGCTTGCAATTCTTTTCTGGTCTACAGATACCTCAGTTGTTTCTTGCTTCGTCTTTTTAACCACCAACTTCCCCACAAAATTTTGCAATTTCATTACCGAATGTCACGCCTCCATGCAAACCCAGTGTTTAAGGAGAAAACAGGAAGAGAAGAACAAAATTCTTGAGACTTGTGTTGGACTTCCTATTCAAATGACTATGTGAGAGGGCTCTACACAGATTGCTGCATTCATTTTGATGTTTGTTTCTAATCTATTTTTTAATTTGTCAGATGTTACAACAAAAATTTCGGTATTTCAGCATTTTTTTGCAAATATGCTGAAGAAATCCGGAGTACTGATACGATTTAGGTCAGTGCCCCATAAGAAACACAGAATCATCAAAGGATCCTGGCTTCCAAATTTTTTTTTATTTTTTGTTGGTGCTCTGCACAAATTATAGAATACAGCTAGAAATATAGCTGTGTGGGCAAGGTACTGAGAAGCAAAAGAGGTAGCTGCTCCCCAGGAGCTTGTTTTTATGCACGCTCTTTGTCTCAGTGATAGAGGTGTAGCTTACTTTTATTTTAAGATCAGGCAAGGCTGTGGATGTGGTAGCTACCATGGAGTATCTGGCACATGGTGCAGCTACCTCATTGACTTCCCCAGATTTTTTATGTACCCATGCCCTTTCAGATACTTTCTGTTTTCATTTGTGTGGTGTTACACTGAGACTCCTCTTGCAAAGCATTAGGAGAAGGCTACTTAATAAAGTTTTGTCATTCATTTCACACGCTTGGACCCCAAGCAGTGTGTCATTACAATATTGGACTGTTTCTTGGAAGACAAAGACCTACTGGGGAATTAATTCAGAAATTAGGGTGAAAACATGCTTTATAATAAGTGTTTGATTCAGTGATTTGTGGAGTCAATCTGTTGTTACTCTAGGAATACTAGGATACTTTCTCCCAATGATATAGCCAGTAAAATGCTATCCAGTGCAGTATCAATGGTCAAAGTGTGGCATTTTTGCCTCACCTAGTCTATTTCTTCTGTTCAGCCTAATTCCCACAATCTTAATCAGTCCTTGAATTACTGAATCTTAATCCAAATATTTTCTAATAATATCTCATAATCCAAGAGTAGAAGTGGTCTTTCTTACCTTGCTGTACGACCTGTAAATATCTTTCATTTATTGTTGATGCTTATTTTAATTAGAGAATTTTTTTCATTCCTTTTATATTTTTACAACTTTTACTGTGTATAACATTTTTCATAATTAAAATGTCTGGATAGTTGACTTAATAGAACATGCACTGTACAATTTTTTTTATGCTCTGTCGATTTTTAATGCTGCAATTAAGTCCGATCGTAGAAGATATTAATGCATTGTGTGTCTTTTTATTCTCTGCAGCCCCGACAGAAGCTCCCTTACATCCTCACTTAGGTAGGTGATTTGTCATTATTAAAAATTGAATCACTAACTTTATTATAATAAACAATCTGTAAGGTCATATGAAACTAGCTCTGGGGAATTAAAAAAAAGAGACATGAAATTAATTGAGTTATGTCTAATTCTGATTGTTTTTTTTCATTGTGATTTTTATTGCTGTTTATTTATTGCCTTTGAGTCCTCACAGTGCAAGTACATCACACTGCAGAGCTTTTCTTGCCAGCTATGTATTAGAGCATGAGGATCTGTAGCCCCTAGTGTAGGACAGCACCATCACACCAGTGCTGGGTCACTGGGAGGAAGGTGTTGTCCCAGTGCATCTCCAAGGTGCACCCAGGAGCAGGACATCGCTTCTCCTGCTCTCCAAGCAGGGCACGGAGCACGCAGCAGTGCCCAGCTCTGCGCCCATCAGCTTGTGTGTTGCAATCTAGTTAGCCTGGGACAGATACTACCATCTTTGTTCAGTTTGAATGGGAGGTGACAGTGACTTCATTAATTTAATCAAAGTATTTGTGCAGAAGGGTCTGTTTGATACAAATACACCTGCCAAAGTTTGGGGATTTGGGGTTTTTTTGGTCATCATGCATAAATGATACTGCAAATTTAGGGGGAAAGATAGAGCCCAAAGCTTGCAGACCAATGATTAGAAACATTTGCGTAACACAGCTCACAGTTTATATGCCTTACATGAGTTGACCTTTACTGCCAGCTCCACTGATAGCAGCAGAGAAATTCCAACAAGCTCATGGATTTTTCCTTGTGAGTTTTCAGAATGAACCCCCTGCCTACTGGAAATGTAGCACACTCATCACACTCACTAGGACATCTCATGCCTCCTTGTGCCAGTGTTTCCAAAATCTGGATTCAGAGGGATATTTTTCTGAAGATTCCCAAAAAAACTATAGTTTGTAACAAAAGTTCTTAAAACATTTAGTATGTACCTGATGACTGCATATTTTTGTAAACATTGCACTCTGTTGATAGATTGGGAGACTTCTTAATTTTATGTGGTACTGTGGTCCAGAGTAAGTAAAAAAACCTTTAACTGAGAAAACCCTGCTTTAGTAACTACCATACTTTAAAAAGCTGATTTCTTTATTTTACAATGCATTAGACTAGCTCTAGGTAAGGCAACACTCAGGAAGCACTGGATGATTACTCTGAATTTTTTTCATACAGTGCTTTTTTTCCTCTGTAGCTGAAATGCACAGTGACAGCATTATCCTACGAGATGACTTTGACTCTTACCATCAACAAGACTTGAATCCTACCATGTGGTGAGTTTCAAACTTCTGCTTTCCTTTAAATGCATTTGAGCAAATTAAAACATTTTGGTTATTATAATGAAGTATTTGTATTTATTAATTTCTCAATATTTCAGCTCATGTTCATGTAAACTTATGTGTGTCTTTGCTCCATTGGGACCTAAATATATTAGTTTATATTCTAAGCCCATTAAAGTGAGTGATGACTTCTCATTGACTTCAAATTTTTATTTAATCTAAAAATGGAAGGAAGGAGTAGAGCTGAACTAGGTGATTTTTTAGTATAAAGAATTTGATTACTTGAAATCATCATAATTTAATGGAAAAGGTGATGGATTTCAAGAATTAAATTTTGTTTGAAGAATTTTTTAAATTTTTATTTCATGTTCATGTGGTTGTCACAGAATCGCACCAAAATGGCTGCATGCACACAAATAATGAACTCAAACAAGCTTTAATCTGCAACTTAAATTAAGCAGACAAAACTTCATTCACCAAAACAACATCCCACTGACATTTAACAAATACAGGTTCAATATGCTGGTTGGGAATATTACCAGTCACAGCTGATTTAAGAATTCTTAAGTTTTAGGCCAAACGATTCAAAATGTGCACTCACTCACTCACCAAAAAAAGGAGGGCTCTCAATCTCGAGAAGTTACCTGAAGTGGTGTCCAAACTCAAGGGGAGAGTCCCCGACTGCAGACCCGCTGCTCCGAGGAGGACCGACTCAAATGAGTCCTCTGATGGGGTCCCATTTATACCCTGGTCGAATCTGATCTGTGGTCAATACATGGTCGTGTCACCCCCTATTGGCTGAGGACCCCAACTTTCCCACCTTTGACCCCTACTGTGTGGACCAGACATGAGCTGTGAGAGGGGAGGCAGTCCTGGTGCCACCAGGGCCAGAAACTTTAGCACTGCCTTTGTTGGGTCTTTCTGAGGTCTTTAGTGGGGTGGGTGCATCTGCCACAGCAGTGTATATTTCTGGTGTAGCTAACTGTAGTAAAAACTTCATCTAAACTGAAATCAAATGTGTCAAAATTATTCAAAAGTAAAAATTAATTGGAATTAAATACCTTTATCTATTTTTCAGTTGTTGGAAATGTTTAAGGTTGATTTTTTTTTCCTTTTTTTTTGTGGAAGGCAATTTCTTTCAAAATTTATGTATTGTCTAGGAAAGAAAACCCTTCCCTTCCCAGCTCTATACAGCAATTCCCAATTGCTAGGGTTTCTTTCATTCAATGGGTTTCCTGAGCAGGGTCATTCATGTTATCACTGTCTGAAGCAGCAAGCACAGGTTGTTACCATTCTTTAGCCAGTAGATGCTGTTGGAGAATCTCAGGAGTCCACATGCATAATAAGGCAAGTACAATTTAGGACAGGTCAGGTTGAAGCTTTATTAACTCAGATCGTAGCGAGAAAGGACTCGGGCAGCACCTTCCCCTCTGCTCCCCCATTCTCACCAAGGGATTGCAGAGCCCATACACCAGAGTCCGGCCCATACACCCCTTCAGAAAACAGGGAAACAGATGAGGAAAAACAGTTTCAATGTTAATAAAGCCGTGTATCCATCCCTGGAAGGGTTGGACTCCTGAAGTCACTGTTCTAAGGACTAGCAACAAGTAACAGGATAATATGGAGAGTGGGACACCCAAAATTATCTTCACTCAGAAGTGAGGAGTTGGAAACAATTGTAGACTGTTAGCTTTTAGTCAAAAGGAATGTTATTTTAGCAAACATAACTATTAGCCAGATCTCTTAATCTTAAATAATAGTTTTACCACCACAATAATCACAGTGATTGAGTACCATTTCACATGATATATGTACGTACATCACAAAAGAGGAAGTTATAGGTCTCTTACAGTACAAAACAGATTCTGTTCTGTGTGGTGAATATATCTGCTGGTCGTACTATACCCAGATAATGACAGTCTTAATGATAATGATAATTTATCAGTCTTAACATGAAGTTTTGAAGGTATCATTTTTTTATATGAGACTGTTACTGAGTTTTCTATTCCTTCCAATCATATTTCATAAATATAACTGATTTTATTGATTTGATTAAAACAAGACACAGAAATATTTTACTGGGTTAGTTTACCTTGTTCAAATAAGTTATTGACAGGCATTTTAGCAGTTACCTGCATTTGTTAGTTAGGAATACATATGTTCTGTGAAATCAGACTTCATTTTCCTTTTTATTAAGGCCTGTCACAGTTTTCCATCTGTGCAGGTCTTTCACAGTTTCACTACCTTATGTAAAAAGATTGTGGTTTATGGAATTTTATGGATATTTTTCTTTTGCATATACTTATTGTAATATTTTCTTTAATATGTGCCTACTATTTTTCCTCCTTTTGTTCCTTTTGTATCATCTCTTTAAATGTTTTTCTGGACAGATGCATTAAGGACCTGGAATACTATAATATAAAAAACTCTCTTTCTTTATGGGAATGAATAGATCAAGGACTCTTAATGGGTTACAGAATAGCTGCCAAGGTAGATAGCTTTAGCAGCAGTGTGTTAAATGGACTTGAGTGGAAAGAAATGAGAGGAGCCATTATTTCCCTGCAGATGTCTCATAACTCACGGAGAGCCTGTCTGTTGGGAGCCTCTGTAATTTATTTATCCATTGCACTCTTATCTTTAAATTCATCCTTGCCTTATAGAAGTCTCAATAGAGAAATTTCGGACTAAAAGAGCTCACAGTCTCCTGCTCCTTTTGTCCCTGAGATTTGGATTTGACCACCCTGGAATAACTGTGACCCACCTTGGTTGGTGGGTCAGTGCACAGAGGTGTGTGCTGGGACAGAGTCCCAGAAGTCATGACAATCCTGAGACGGATTTTCCTGTAGTAACACCAAAAAGCCAACATTGTCAGCAATGCTAAACAGAAGTAAAGCACAAATAAAAGAAAACTGTAATGAGGTGTCATGAGCTTTTCTGCATAAAGGATTTCTACAGTAGCTCTGCCTCCAGCGAAGACCCACTTAGTGGCAGAAAGCTCATTCTCATTTGATTGTCTACTGGGACTTAAATCAGGGATTATTAACAGTTTACACCATCCACCCTAAAATTGCATTTTTTTCCCCTGACAGCTGCTAAAATCCCATCTTTACCACAGACAATTGCGGTAGCTGCTGGAACAGCATTTCCAGCCCTGCTCAGTCCTCAGTCTCTGTGCTGGGAGCGTGTGGCAGCGGCTGCCTTGTGCGCAGTGATACTCCAGCGGTGCCATGCCACCAGGGCCCGGTTAGATTAAACCACTCTAATAATTTCTGAAATCATTATTTGTGTAAAGATGAAAAGAGAAACATTTGTGTTTTCCTATGATCTTTTCTTCCCAAATCCTACATAACACTGGCCTGGATGTGATTAATATTGTACCCCTCCTCCTGATCCCCTTTCTGGCATCTGCAGCTCTGTTGGAGCCATACAGTCCAAGCGCAGAAGCAAAGCTTTCTATAGCCTCTGTGTGTGTCTGATTTTATGAGTCCCAGCAGATTCTGTGTGTCTCTCCATTGCTGGGAGAAGCCTCAGATCAAATAACTATTTTGCACAAGGGCACTGTATGATTTCAAGAGTGACTGCTGTTTTTTATGGATTTCTGCTCTTTCAAATGCATTGGAAGACACATCCTACCCAGCAACCATATGCTTCTTCGGGGGCTCAGGAGGAGGGAAGAAGTGGCTACGAGTGTTTCTAGAGCTGCAGGGAGAGGAGAAAGGGAAGGTTGGGATGGGGCTCTTTGAAAACAGAAAAATCACAGCATCTAGGAAGGGGTTCCTGACCTAAATCACAGTTTGGTGACTGAAAGAAAACAGGAAAAACTGCTAAAGAGGGAAAGTTCAAGAAGAAGAGGAGATAATGGGAGAGGACACATAAGGAGAAGGAAGTAGGGAGGATTTCTGTGCTGGGAATGCAGAAAAAGGAGCATGTCTCAGCTCTCACATTTTCTTGGGTCTCAACCACTTAGTTTTCTTATGTGGTTTGCTCAACTAATTTTTATATTCTTTTCTTCCAGCATTCAATCATGTCAGAATATTATTATTTTCTAAGTCCCCAACCCGTAGGCACAAACCTGCTAAAGCAAAGATTTCCTGATTTCTTCAGTCTCATTTGCCACCAACCTTACAAAGACCCCTTTGGCTTGTGAAATAACTATGCTTCACATGTTGATAAATGTCCAATGTATTTTATGTCTAACATATATTATATTAACATGCTGTGGAAGTTAAGGTTGGTAAGTGACTCCCACTCCATGGTAAACATAGCACTGATGGACATGCCAAGCGGTTCACAGCTGACTTACAGAGCTAACTAGTAATGTTTAGTGCCTTTTCCAATTAAAAGTCTAATAGTACAGGTCCATGAAACTTGCTGAAAACTGGCAGGAGTGTGTCAGTTCAGATAGCTCAGGAACCATGGAGGTACTTGATTTCCTCTGGAGGGAAAGGAAATCTGCACCGTGTACCACATGCCACGGAAGGGCCAGGAAACGGCTGGAAGAAGAAGAGGTCCAGTATGGGTGGTATCTGGAAGACTACCTAGGTCGTTTCTGTGACCATCTTACCTCCATGTAACCTCATAAAATTGCAGAAGAGAGTATAAAAAGGTGCTATACTAAACTATACGATACTATAAGAGCTAAACTATACTACACTATAAGAACTAAACCAGGCCAAACCATAACAAATCTAGAAAAAATATCCTGTTTGAGCCTATGATTTAATGTAGAGACAAAAAGCCAGGGGAAGAAGATGCATATATTAGTGAAGAAGAGATGCTGGCATTAAGGTATGTTTCTGCATAAAGCAGTTTTAACAGTAGGGCTGTAGACAACAGGGGATTCAGTACATTTAAAAAATAAAGACTCTGTACAGAAGCTTGTTGCTGGCTAAACTTTCCTTCCCAACTTGATGCCATGTTTCATTCAAAGCCTATCAGCACTCCAAACAGCAGTCACTTTCAGAAGACATACTCTTCAAAGACGACATGAAGAAAAGCTGAGCATTTAAAATCAATCAGTAAGAAACAGTTCCATCACTTCTTCATGGCATATGAGAAATGAAGAGGTACAGTGATATTTCCAGTAGCAAAGAGTTAGAGGAGAGCTTTGTGACAAGAGAGAGAAGTCCTAAAGTGGTTTCCAAATTGCACTAAAACTGTGAGATTAAACTTCAGAAAGATTTATGTTTAAAAATCTCTTGGCAGTTTGAGATGTTTATCGTCTTTATAGTCCAGACATCACAAAAGACATCAGTCAATATAATGTCCAAAAACTCAGGTACTGTAGAGGGAAACGAGATGACAAATAGGCATGAGGAAACGGCAGATGTTTCCCCTTCAGCAAAGTGAAGAACAATAACAGAGAGAGGTGGGACTCTCCGAGCCAGAGATGAGAGTGATGGCAGGTCTGCAGAGAAGACTTCCAGATGAATATGACACACGTCAACACTGGCACTGAGTACCAGCTGTGAGGAGAAAGCTGAAGTTATTTTAATGTGCTAGGATTTTAGACCAGACAGGTGAGAAAGATAATGTAAAAGGCTGCACCCAGCCAGGACAATTAATACTGTCTCCTGTTTGTATAAATGGAAAAGAAATTAACCTTCCTGTCTGTACTAGGAGAGGAGCAAATTGGATCATTTCTAAACACGTAACACTATGACGATGATCTGAGGAACAGCAGATCAATTATCTTACTCTTCATGCATTCCTGTCAAGCGAGTGAGCAATTTATTGTCAGAGGTAGTGCATTTCAAAGAAAGCACAAAGGTTTGAATCAGGATTACCAGCAGCCATCCAACTTCTTATGAGGAGTCATCCTTAGAAAGGATGAGTGGTGATGAAACAGCTGCATTAGAGGGACAGTGTTTCTGGATTTCCAGACAGTATTTCATAGACCACTTTACAGAAGCAGAATAGATGAACATCTGATTCATTTTGTATTCATTGAATGATGAGAATTACAAAATTTCAATATCCTGTGCATGATGTAATGTGATCTTTCATGTGAGATTAAGTGGTCCCTACATAGTATTCATAGGCAAAGTTTTCCTGCCATATCTGTCTCTCCCTGCACGTATCAGGAGTTCAGGCAGATGCTCCCCTGTAAAACTCCAAAATGTAGGGGCAGATAATGAAAATAATGCTTGTAAACAGCCAGAATCCTGCAGGATTCCATGTATTCTTCTAGTTCCTATCCCTCTGTTCTTCTGTTATCAATTTAGAGATCAAGTGAAATTTAGATAGCAACAAAACATGTCCTCTGTGAACTCTGTTTCCTTACTTTCTCTTAAAGTATAATTCCATTCATTCACACCTCTCTTTTTGCCCTAGATTGAGAAATAAAATTATAGGCTGACTGTGGCTTCTATAACTAAATATTAACTCACTGAAGTCAATAGGAACTACATTACTTTATTAGAGGATTTAATTTTGCTGCTTTAATTCAAAATCCTAAACGCTATCAGTGTGAATTGCTGAACTTTATTGACATGTTCGTACAGGAAAAAAACTCAGGGATTTTTAATGTCTGACTTTGATTTGGGAACTGGAGCTGAACCTGACCTTTAATAACATCTCAGAATGAGAAACTGGGAAAGTGGGAACAAGGCATTCATCTTTGACTTCTGTAATGGACTTGGGCATAAGAAAGCCAGTCTCGTGCTGAATTCACCCAGGACCAACTGAAGAGACCCAAAATAACAAGTGTGATCAATTATTCACCACATCTATGCATCTGGAAACCTAACATCTATCGCTCAGCAGAGCATATTGTGCAGGGTATTGTACATTGCCCAGAGTTAACCCATTCTGCCAGAAGTTACCCATACTTTGCTGCTCTGGGAAGCCACAGGAGTGGTGAGGAACCCCCGTCCACCGTGGGAGCAGAGCAGGAGGTAGCTTCATTTACTTAAACACATACTTCAAAAATTATTTTAAACTTTATTTCTGATCACTTCCTGGGTTCACAGGAGGCCATTGTTCCCTGCTCAGACCTTTTGGGTACATGGCCTCGCAGGGAATAGCTGTCCCCACCCTGTGGGGTAGTTGACAGTGCTGCCAACCTATTCCTGACAATGCAGCTGGAAGTGTCACTTGACTCTCCAGGACCATGTTGGGCTCCTGGTTTTCAGAATCTCAGGAATAGAAAAATCCTGCTCCAAGCAGTTTACAGAAAGACTTGCATAGGTTTAACACAACATTTGTTAACGAAAAGACAAACAAGCAACATAAATTAGGAAAAGAGGTGGAAAAGCCCCAAGAAAATTAGTACAGAAATCAACTATGCATTGATAATATGTGTCAGTTATCTATAATCAACTACCATAATTGAAAACTCTACCATATATGTTGACAGCAAGTCCCAATTTTCTTGATATTTCTTCCTTTCCATCTGATTTCCTGTAAGATCTGCCATCCGTAAATTAGCCAGAGAACGAACAGATAGAAGAAAACCAAACCTTTGCATACTACTAAGCTACATTCGGGCTGTGTATATGGGAATGCGAAGCACTCTATGTGAGAGGAGTCAAAGAAAAAACTGTCTAAACACCCCTTACATAAGTCCATTGCACTTAAAACTCTAAAGACGCCAGCTATTAAAGTACAAAAATAAGCAAGAAATAAGAAGCTTTGGAGTGAGTTCACCCTTGCTTACAATGGAGTTGCTCCGGAAGCAAATGTTTGCCTATGGGTTTGATGTTAAAGCTGAGCTTTGAATGCCCAAAGGCAGTGTTGGTCAGCCCCATTGCAGGCACTTTGTCAGGGGCTGGGAGCATCTCCAAAATTTTTTTTAAATCTGCTACTCATGCCAAGAGCCGACACTCTGATCCTTGAGGGTGAGGGAGAGAGCTTTTTCCCTCTGCTCCGCAATCAGGCTGCCCACAAAGTCCTTCCTATTAAATTAAGAAATATCAGAAGAGGTGCAATTAGTTAGCTCAGCAGCACTTACCAGCCTCTCTCAGATTTTCTTCATACTTTTTCCCCTAAAAGGTGAACAGAGTGGCAACTCTCTGTTACTAGGAATACAGGATATGACAAATACAAATAGAAAGCAGCAGCAAGGCCTGTCTTACAGCAGCTGGCCTGAGGGAGCCTCTTGGTGCCCAGTTTCAGGTAGGGCCTGCAGCCTTGAGGGCTACCCTTTGGGGTAGATAACACTGTGGGCTGGACTGGGGCTGACCCTGACCCCTTCTCCTGAGCTGTTCTGTATGGTAACTCCGCAATGGTGGGTTTACATGTGGTACATCAAATGTGCAGTAAAGATTTTGGAAGAAGAGTAACTTCAGGAAAAATTATACGTGTAAGAGTTCAACTTGGTTTCCCATGGTGTGATGTCTTGCAGTTAATGATCAGGGACACTCCTTTTTTGGGAGTGACAGTGTACAGAGAGCAAGTACTTATTCTCAAGGGGATATTTCCAGAGGCAGCTCTGGTGCATCATACGTACAGTTGCTCTTTATGTCCAGCCCCATGAAAACAAAACAGTCGAATCTCTTTGAGTGCCAAGACGTAACAGTCTTATTTTGCAGTTTGAAAGGCTGATGTTGTCTCAAATGTATAGTTTCTGTTTTCTGTTTTGAACACAGTGTGTTCTTCCTCCAGGTTTGAATGCAGTAACTGTGAGGTTGGAGAGCAGTGTGGTGTGATAATGCATGGCAATGCTGTCGCTTTCTGCGAGCCATATGGTCCCAGAGAACTGGTAAGTGAAGGCTGGCTCCTCTGCTGGGGCTGGGGCTGCAGGCTGGGAATTGTGGCTGTCTCGGCTCCAGAGATGGCCTTAAGCAAGGTGATAGAGCCATAGAAGAGCACCCCAGGAACATCCCGGTGCTTTAAACTACAGATGCTAACCAAAGGTTATTGCAATAGTTTGCAAAGGAAAGTCTCTTGATCCAGTGTGCATCCAAGTTATTTAAATTACCTATAAAAGACTGGAAAGGCAAGGAAATAGAACTGTGTTGTCAAACTGGCATCATTCTCTTTTTATTTCTGACAGTGAAACAGAGAAAAGGTTCATTTTTCTTCTCTGATTTTATTAGCTGTGTCCTGGTTTTTTTTTTGTTGCTGTTGACAAATGTTAATTTGGTTGTAAAACATCACTGGTGAACATCCTACAGACTTAACTGCAGCCTGGGGCAAGCACCTGCCAATCAGGAACATGTATGTGACAAATTGAGTCATGATGAAGGGGAGAGAATTAATTTCATTGGGGGTAGTTTGGTCAGAAAATTGCTTTAAAAAATAACATGGTGCCTTTTGCATTAACTTGGGATCATCTGGGTGTGGAAAATGAACTGAAAGATATATAACCAATGCCCACATGCTGATGCTGAGCAGATAGCTGCAATGATATACATGAAATGGGAGTTTTGGAAAGAACTGAAAAATTGAAAGAGCAGCTCAAAGCTGCTGTAATTCAAAATCAATTTTCATGTTTTCAACAGTCTTCTGAGTGGAGGAAGAGCCTCATTAGAGCTATTTGAAGAGCATACATGGAAGAGGGCCATAAAATAGAAGTGGTTTTGACCAGGCATCTTCTCTTCATTTCAGACACTGACAATTCTATTAACAGGGTTAATTTTATGTCCTTAACTGAGACCGAAATTCCACAGATTCAATGTAGATATTATTGGTGTGGCGACTGAAAGTCATAAACACATATAAAACTAATTCAGAGGTTTTACGGATAAAACAGAATTTCAGTCATTTCCCTCACAGCCAGCTCCAGCCAGGGAATCCTGACAGGGATGCTAAATTGCCTCTCTGCTACTTTGAATCCTATTTGAATGTACTATGCTTCATTAACTGCCTGGAGAAGAGATGCATTGTTTTATGTCCTGTGCAAAAATGAAGTTACACCACTAGGATATTTTTCCCAGTTTTTAAACTCATTTTTAGTTGCAGTATTGAGCATAGGTAACACTCTTTGAAAACAATCTATTTATGACATTTAGCAAACCCAGGGTCCCAGCTACCAGGGCTTTGAAATGCCATTAATTAGCTGTCTTCTCCCCGCTGATATGTAATTTAGACTATCCTTAGTAATCATGAATTGGCTTCAAAATGCAGTGTTGGACTGTGTCATATTACCATGTGGTAAAATAGCACTACCATGGCATCAGGAACTTGGAAAAATTTTATTATAATTCCAAAGCGGTGTGATTAAATAATCAGCTGAAAAAATCATCATGCTTATAAACAGTTAGCAGCCTAATAATGAAAGTGTTTATAAATATTATGGCAGTGTTGCAGAAAAATCAAATCCTTCTGAAAGAACATGCTAATGGATGAGCACATGCGTTTTGGATGAGCACAGGGAGGTGTTTGTGCCAGAGGTCTGACCTAGTTTTATTCTTTAATATGGACATTGGTTTAAACCTTTATTTTCTGAGAACCAACCTGTTTCTGATTTGTAGTCAGGTTTTGGAGATTTCACAACATATTTCTTCGTGTTACAAATTTTAAAGCCTGTTTCCTTTCTCTAACCATTACGCATATTTATTCCATCATCTTTACTACATGAGTCCCAATCTGTCTCTGCTTGAAATGGTTCTTGAAATCTCTGTTCCTGTTCATGGCTCCTAGTGACACATTATTGCTTTAAAATACTTAGTCAAGAAGAGTTGAATTTGCAGAATGTATTATATCAACAGCTGTGACAGCTGCTGTTTGCTTCCTTGACCACCCTCTCCTCTCCCAGAAGCTGCCTGTTACTACAGACAGAGGGTTTTTTAATGCCAGCTGTCTGTTGGTGAGAATTTACCACTGGCAAAATCCTGCAAAGATGTATAGGGCCAGAGATGTTGCAAGCAAAGGAAAATAGCTACTAAAGGCACCCTACCAGCGTCTGAACTTTGTAGTCCTTTGCAGAACTTTGCAAAAAGTTTTTAGTAAGTCCAATGCTTTTTTTCTAAAACATTACTGAAATTATTCACAACATAATCTCTTTTAAGTCTATGTGAATGCCTCTTCTGTGATAACTGATACATTTCTTGGTGATATGAACCACTGAACATTGAGCATTCAAATTAAAACTTGCACAACGTAATTAATTGAATGTAAACTAATATAATAGGTACTCATAACTCAAGTCAGAAAGCACTTTAGTATTTGGCATGATAAATGTGACACCTAATACTGAATTGATCCTGACAGAATGGACTTAAATGGGGATGTAACTGCATTTTCAAAGGAGTTACATAAATGCGGCTTCCCTATTTTTGTTTAAAGATTAAACTTACTTGTTACGAATATTCCAAAGAAAGGAAATCTGTGTTTTAAGTAAATGTTATGTACAGATTGTGCCAAATTTTCAGGTAGTTTTTAAAGTTGCTGTTTGAGATTATGGTGAAGCCTTGGAAATCTGTTGCACTGAATCTTAGTTCACAGATCATTAATAGCTGTGACAAATGTCCTAAATTTCCATGCACCTTCCTGAAGCACATGTAGTCTTGTTATCAGCTAATCTTCAGTGCATTTCAGTGAAGATCCCATTCTTTATAAGAAGTAACTCTCTCTGTGTAATATGTATGTAGAAAAGAAACAAAACACACCAAAACCTCATGCCAACTCATGCAGGTCTCCATCCACTATTTTCAAAGGCATCATTTCACGAATACTTCAACTGGGTGCATGCCGCCACTGGAAGAAGTCCAGACCCTTTGGCTGTTCTGCACCATTGCCTGTCCCTCCTGCTATGTGGAGAGATAGTATCCATATGAGCATTGGTGGGCTTCATGGAGAACCACACCGGAAAGTGAATCCAAATTAACTTGCAAAGAAAACAGACTGATAGTTTCGCAGAAGTAATCTACTTGAGCTGATTTAACATGCAGCTACCCAAAAGCTAATGTTAGTACGTGGAAGAGAGTGAAGGGAGCTATCACCTAGGAATTCATTAATTATATACATTTGCATATATATTTACACACATTCTGAATATACATTTGCAAAGATATGGAAATGGTTTTGAAAGGCTCCAAAGACAGAAAAGCCAATATAGGTGACTGAGAGATAACATTTGTTCTGTGTCAATGGAGTCATAAATAACAGTCACTAAATATCTGCATTTCAGTTTAACTTTTGTTCAGTGTCATGCAGCGATGCCAGAGTAATAAGGGACTTCAGACATGAGAGAGATCTCTCTTACCAGTTTTCATGTTTATCAGCATAGTAGATAATTAAAGAGTGCAGGAATACCTGATGATGGAAGAACCTCTGCTTTCACTATGTGGCTCAGGGAAATGATGCAGAAATTATACTGTTCATCATTACAGTATGCTGATAAAATTGCCTTTGTAATACTGCCATAATTAATGGGCACTTGAAAGAACACACCATCTTCCAAGTCATTAAGTCTAATCTTTACTTAGGTGCTGGCCTTTTTAGAAAATGTCAGTTTAGTGTCCATGAGCTTATATGTTTATCTGTATTTTGCTGATTACTACTTTTTTCATTCTTATCTACTATTCTGTTTCCTCTACATCACTCATATAAGCAAAGCAGTAGAGTCATTCAAGTCCTCTGGGTGCTCCACTTGGAGCTGCCTCCATGCAGATGCCCAGCTGAGCTCTGGTGGACAGTGCCTGCAGGCCCTGGCATTGTACGTCTCGGACTCAATTTGCTGAGAAGTTTGACTTCTCTGTGGCATATCCACATCATGACATGGTGCATGGATACAGATCACAAGAAGCACATCTGATGAAAGAGTCTGTCACTGCTTTCATGCGAAATGACAAAAAATATTGGTGTGTAGGATCTGACATGGAAGGACAGATCAAAGGTCTGGAAATCTAGGATGCAGGCATCACTGGCAACAATATCAGATGAATTTATTTAAGGTGTTTGCTGTCCCTTTTCTTCCAATTAGATGACTTCTTTTACAATTGTGTAAACTTACTGTTTGGCCAACTCATGTCTTTTTTCCTTTTCTCTTTTGATCTAATGTTGCCATTGTCTTTCAGATTGTACATTTTTCCTTCTTCAATGTAGCCTGTAAATTCTGCTTATAATGATAACTTATATCTTTGTTAGTTCTTTTGCTAAAGTGAATGAACCAAACTTTGAGTGTGCTCTTTTTGGGGCAACCCTCTCTTTGATAAAATAACCAGATGAGGCAGTATTTTTAGGCAGTTCTTCTGCTTTTCTTCTAATGTAGCAGTATCATTAAGTCCAACTTTCAAAATGAATTGAAAATAAAAAAGTGTCCATCACAACACTTTAGTGCTTTTTGTCTTATGACATTTTCAGGAAAACAGTCCTAATTTGAACTACTGAAATATGGGGGCATTGAAAGAAGGGAGGAAGAAAGGCCTCAAAGGAGGAGAGTGCACTGAATACAGAGTGAGCTGCTCAGTGTCTTCTGCTTGTTTCTAGGTCTTGATAGGAAGCCAATAGTCTGTAGATGCTACTGCAGAATTTAGTTCTATATATATTATGCAGTATCACCAAGGTTTTGTTTGCTTTGTTGTTAAAGACTTAGGTTCTGTTATTCCCTCTTAATATTTTATTTTATTATTTTAAATTTACTTAATGTTATTTTCATTATTTATTTATGATCATTTTTTGTTTTTGCTCTGTGCTGAGAGAAGTGAGACCATTGTGTATTTACAGATTTATACTAAGCTGAACATAAACCACAGAGTTCATTTTTTCAACCTTCTAAACACTGGTGAAGTGCCAGTGTTTCACGTAAATGTGCTTGCTTTGTAGACATTAATGGGATGAAAGAAAAAAAATCCATCTTTGACACATGATAAGATATCAATAATCAAAATGACATAACAGAAATGTCCATGATCACTCAGCCTGAAAGGGTTGGCGATTAATAGTTTTATACACCGGAGATCTAGGTATCCAGAGAGTTTCCATGCTTTCAAAGAAAAACAAGTGATTAATGTACTGTTTTGCCAGTCTAACGCAATCTCTCTGTTGTTTGCTTTTCTTCCTGTAGACCACCACTGGCCTTAACACAACTACTGCATCCGTCCTTCAATTCTCTCTTGGTAAGTTTAGCTTACTCTTTCACCTGAGAAAGTGTAAAAGTCATCACAGCAAGGGAAAATGGCCATTAAGTTCAGGTTTACCTTTCTGGTCGATGTTCTACTAGACATGGGGGATTAAAAAATATTTTAAAAACTGCAGCACATTTATCCACTTCCTAATCTAAACTTTGGAAAGGAGAAACTCCAGTGGATACGCTGATGATGGGAGGCATAGTCATGTTTGGGTTTTGGGGTTTTTCACTTTTTTTATAACCTGACGGATAACATTATAATCTCTTGCTCTTCCTCTGTAGTGTGATTTCTGTTTCTAAAAAAAAGACTTTTTTAACATTTTAAACTCTTGATATATTCAAAGTTACGGTTGGGTAGTACTGTTTTTAACACATCTGTACAAACAGAATAGGTAGGGGAAACCAAAACTAAATGCTGTTTAGTTCATATTATCAACACTGTGGTTGTATGCTGTATTGCTTAGAAAACCTGCTGTAAGTTATTGCACATTTTCACTGTGTAGTTGTTATTATGGCAAAAGTTCTGGCTTGGGCTGTGGGCAAATTGAGAACACAATTTGTTAACTCATATCTCAGCGTTCAAAATATGAAGGAAAAGTGGGTTTATGATCTAAATGGTTCAATAAAAAAGCAAGCAGGAAATGTATCCTGCTTCCTCTGTGGAGCCCTTGATATGTGCTTCTAAATCATATTCTTATTTTTAAAAAAGTAATTCTCCAAAAGTATTTCAGCAGACCTGCGATTAAAGTCTGGAAATCTCAGCTGGAAATAAAAGCCATCAGGTAGCTTGGCAAGCAGCTTGACTTTTTCTAGTGGATTGGAAATAAAAATCCTAGAAGGCTCAGAAATACAGCATTTAAATTTGTTTTTACCTGAAGTTGTTCATTTGACCATTTGAGATCATCATTACCTGTCACTCTGCAATTGACTGCAATGTTATTAGTCCTAAGGATGGATATCTCTACCCTTTATTTTGAGTTACTGTTTTTAAAAGGACAGAAAAATGGCTATTGCCAGTGAACTGCAAAAGGGTGCAGACTCCTAGAAGTTTCAAAATTAGACTTAAGAGTTCACTGGTAGCCTTTGTTCCTATCAGCTGGGGGAGGCCGTATAAAAAAAGGGTAAGAACAGGCTAAGTAGGAAATATGCTATATGACAGGATTGTCATGAATATATCATAAAAATACCTTAACCTGTACCAGTAGGAACCAGTAAAATCCTCAGTACAATGGAGCAGGAGAGGGGTGGATGCACATCTGAATAAATCAGATTTTCATCCTGAAGTTCAAAATGTATCACATTTCCCCATGTGCCTGTGTTGAGTTTGAAATACAGTGCAGATTGGTTTTGTAACTGATAAAAACCAGCATGAGCTGGGGAACTGCTGCTGAGCTCAGCAGTACTTGACTTTAGAATCATAAATCTAAACTAGGCATTTGCCAGTTTCCAGCTTATTCCCCAATGTCCGATTTAATCATAACCCTATTTAGGGATTCATCCAAGGGAATTGCCTTTTTTAAAGAATGTTTAACACTTTCTATCAACTGCAGAATAGCTTAAACTGTAATCTTTTGAGGATATCTTTATCTGTCATATTGCTTTGGCCACATTAAAGTGCATATCCTTTGATTTCTCTCACCACAAATTATCAGATGGAGTTTTGTATTTGCAGGTATATAAGCAGATGAGGACTGGGAAATGAAGCAGAAAAATGGCCCTGATTTCACCATAAAACCCAGATCCTTTTGAACTGTATGGTCAGGAAGGGCAACACTCCAGTGAATTTTTCATTAGTTGATATTCTGTGTAGTTTCCTTCATGTGCCACCTATTTGGTAATCTTGCCCTTTAAAGGGCAATGGGATTGAAAAGGTGCACTTAAGATGAAGCCTTAATTAGGATGAAAAGGTAATTCGTAAGACCACCATTCAGCACACAGGGTGACATTAATGTTCAGTATCCTTTCCTAATGAGAGCGACTGGTCTGCCATGCAGCATTCACTCAGCGCTGGGGGCATTGCCTTTTGGTCCAGGGCTGGGATGATGTTTACATTTATACACTCTCTGCCCAAGCGTGCAGAAAATTTCAGTTACTTTGGATGTCTTAGTCATCTGTGACTACATTTCTCTGAGACCAAACATAAGTGAAAGACAAAGTCTAGCAGTTTCCTTAATGTTCAGTGGGATTGTTAATTGAGATACTTAAAGTAATGCCTTTGGGCTCCCTCAGGCCAGAAAATCTAATTCAACAGCTTGGGATTGCAGGATATTGCACAAAAGCCTCCAGACTCAGCTGCCACACAATGTTAGTCTGATTCATTAGCTGAAATATTCTCTGTTTCTCACTACAAAGCTCCAACATTTCCCCTTAGCTACATCCCTGGACTACTCCAGGGATGAACATGATCTGGTACTTGCGTAGGCCACTATGATGGAAGGTGACTCATAGTACCAAGAGGTTAGCAGGCAAGCTAAAACACAGAAAGAAAGAGAAATCTCATAAGGAGAAGAGGAAAGGTTTTAAGGGAGCGATGCCAAGGCGCGAGTTTTGCAAGCAGTTCTGCTCAAGCATTGTTCCTTGGGTGTCCTCTTCAAGCATATGCTCCCACGGCTGTGGTGCGTGTGGGCTGTGCATGCTCTGCGTGGGTGTTCAGCATTGGCAGGCTCTTGCTATCCCTCCTTCCTCTGCAGTGCCTCTGAGTCAAACACCAAGCTGAAGCCGAAGGCACTGTGATCAGTATCAACACTCAGCCTATCCCCCAGGGCAAGTGTACCTCTTCTGGATGCCAGGAATTCGGGTGGCACCACCACTGACCTAACAGAAAGGCATTTCAGAAGACTGCATTAAGCACAAAACAAAAGAAAGATAACAGTTAACTTTTCCTGATATAGCATAGGCATGGACACTGATGGGTCACAGAAACTCTGTGACAGATACACATTTTCCTAGGACTTGCCGCAGTTCTTATAGTTCAGATTTAAAGTGGCAAGACCACAGCATATTTGAAAAAGTTGGAGTGTATGTGCGCTATGACAAACGAAACACCTTACAAGAAACTCAGTATGATGCAGAAAAACTGCCTGCAATAAATAAAATAATAAAACCCTGTCCCTAAAGTTCAGATGGGCACTGAGGGTACTGCTGAGCTGGCAAATAAGCTGTCGCTCTCTGAAAGCATTATTTGCAGTTAACATGAAAGACTTGAAGATGCAGGATGCATGAGCAAAGGGGATCTTCAGCGCCTGGAGAACCAATGGTCTTGACACTGGAGATTCTTTAGGTATTTTTGCTGCATGGATCGCATGGTTGGTTACTGCTAGAAAAAATACTTGACATGAAGCAAAACATATATCACAGAATCACAGAATCACAGA